CTGAAGAACAAAAGGACAGCAACTTGTCTGTTCCCCTTCCCCCAGTTCCCCAGCGCTGTTCCCCTCCCCCCAACTCCCCATTAAAATCTTAAAAAAAAAAAAATCCTCTTCTAGATCACGCTTGAGGACCTATTTCACAATCGGTTATCTGGACACATTGTTTGTCTAGCCAGTTCCCTGCTGTTGGGCATTCTTGCTCCCAATTTCCCACTAGCATAAATGAAATAAGCGGAAATAATTTTCAGAGCCAAATACTTGCTCTAAGCCACTGTTCCCACTTAGAAACAAACCAGGAACAGGCTCCTGCTAGCACTTCAGGATCTGGGGAACGGGTGTGCATGTGGTTCCCCAGCTGGTTCTGGCTTTCACTGACAGGCACTCAATTAAAATGTGCTGTTACTTATATTAACCAAGTAATTACGAATTCCTTTTCTTTAAGGAAAAAGAAATTAACAACTGATCCTCAGAGTCCTGACCCAGGGCTATGCAAAATGCAGGAGTCTAATGTTTCACAAGGATTACCTAATTTGATCCTAGGCCCACTCCCAGGAGGGAGAGACCACTGTGATCCCCATTTTCCAGAGAAGGAAACTGAGGCCCAGAGAATTGAAGTCATTCAACTAATGTGCAGCAATGCATGGACGGCCACATTCCCACAGGCACCTCTGGACCCTCCCCATCAGGGCTGACACGGGTACTACAGACCACACAGGCAAAGGCAATTTCGTTTTGCCCCAAAGAAAGGACAATGGAAATAGCAGCCATATTTCCAAATGGCTTTTAGCACCTAAGATCCATTAAGGGACAAATCAGCCCAAAGGGCATACCATGTGCCCCATGTCTGGCAGGGACATGAGCCAACGGTCATCTGGCACCAGACAGAAGCCATGCTTCCCTAGAGGGACACATCACCAAAGACCAAACGGAAAGACAGCTGGAGATGGCAGACTCCCATGGGCAGCTGTTTCTTGTTAAAAGAAAAATGGCACCAGATACCTACATGAATTCATGGGATCCGCTCAGAGAAAATCAAGGTAAGGCTGAAAATCAAAGGCGAAGCCCTCAGCTTGCCCAGAACTAGATACAGAAAGATAGTAAGGGCAACCCCAGCAGCTTTCCCTCAGCTCAGAGCCCTCCCTAGTCCTCAGGGCTCAGCATGGCCCACACCCACCCAGATTGACCAGAATCCCTCCCTAACTTCATCTCCTCCCCCTATACTAGCCTCCAGGCACGCTCCCACCTCAGGGCTTTTGCACTGGCTGTTCCCACAGACTGGGATGCTTTTCCTTCACCTCCTTAAGTCCCTGTTCAAATGTCCCCTTCTCATGTAGGCCTTCCCTGACCCTCCCCTATTTAAAACCCTAAACCTTCCCCTGCCCCCTTCCACATGCTCGCCTTAATCCTGCTCTTTTTTTTCCATAAAAGTTATCACCTTCTACCATGTTTCTTCTTTATCTGGCCCCTGCTGGAAAGCCAGCTACCCCAGGACAGGAGTTTTGGTATCTTGCTCAGGGCTATGTCTACAGCCCTAGAATAGGCCCAGAAACACATTTCAATGAACGAATGAAAAATGCAGAGCATTTTAGGCATCCTCCCAAGCACTCTAAATGGTCTCATTTAATCCTCACTCCACCCTTAATGAGGGGCACCATGTGACATTATCTGCCCTAAGAAGTCAAACACACCCAACCAGGATACCTGACTGGGGCCTATGAGTAGATACTGTAAACAGCCCCATTTCCTAGCTGGGGAAACTGAGACTCACAGAGGAAAGGCTCACATAACTAAGCCCAGGCCTCAAGAGTTAGAAGCCTTAACCTTGGCCTCCTGCAGCTCTTTCCACAAGAAACAATTTCCCAAGCCCCCTCTTACCAGCTCCTGAGGCTAAATGACAAGGGTGAAAATGAAGATATCTGCTGGTGCAGAGCAGGACAAGCCAAGGGTTTTAAATGCAAAGGTTTCCAGGACCAGGAGGCAAATGCGAAATGGGCCTGGGCAAGCACTAGGGAGTAGTGAAGACTGTGGCAGCTCAAGTGGCCAGTCCTAGTTTGACCAGGCAGCCAGCGGCTGCTGCTTCTGAGATCCAGGCAGTTGGTGCCAAGCAAGACATGGGAACAGGAAGGCCAGAAAACACTGATCGTAACAGCAGCAGCCATGGGTACACAGCTACAGCCAAACATGGTGGAGGTAGGCCCAGGGCCAAGAGCCTGTGTGCTACACCGCCAAACTCTAAAGATCTTCGGGTGTTTGTTAGCACTGCAGAAATCTGGATTTTTATGAAAATCTAATTTTTAAATATTTACAGCTAATTAAAAACAAAACATTTTAAACACCATGCAGGTAAAACAAAAGACCAAGATTTGGCCCCCAGGGCCACTGATGCCCAACCCCCATACAGGGCTAAGTTACTGGGTCATTCCCATTCCAACCACATTCTTAGAAAATCCACAAGGAGGAGGCAATGAAATGGAGCAACCTGTGCTGACCCCCAGGCACCTGCTCTTGACCCTCTCTTGTTTGTTCCTAGAAATCAGTGGGCTATCCACTGTACTGGTCCATGGTGAGAAGACTAAAACAACAGTTTGACCAAATGCCCAAAAAGTAGGCAGTGGAATTCAAAGTGAGGCCCATCTGCCAGCCCCTTGTATCAGGGCTTTGAAGCTGAGAGGCCTTACCCACATTCCAGAAATAAAAAGAAATTAGCTCTGTTAGAGCATACCATACCCAAAGAGAGGCCTTTTGACAACTTTGGTTCTCAGGCCCTGAATTAATAATGCTCTTAACGATAGACGTCACACTGCGGATTTATGGGAGGAGGTTGCTACAGAAGCCAGCTCAGTAGTAGTTGGCAGTCACCAGAAGCCAGCGTGGACGGGGGAAGATAGGCGAGGGACAGAAGAAAGGTGGGAAAGGAGACAGACTCACCTCCCCCCCAAAGTCCCCAATTCCTCACTGAACAGCCTCAAGCAAAAGTGCTCAGCTCTCTAAATCTCAGCTTCCTGCTCTGTAAAGTGGGATCATAGCAGTGCCACCCTCAAGAGGCTTAAATGAAGTCCAGTGTGAAACTTGAGACCACTTTAATTTTGATTAGCTTTTGTTGTCAATATGAGAGGAACCAGCACAGTGCATAATGGCCATAGACCTACAGTGTGCCAGGTACTATGCTAAAAAGCACTTTCAATATATGTCACTGCATCCTTGCAACATTCTTGAGGGACCATCACCCCATTTTTAGGGACCATCATCTCATTTTAGGCAAACAAGACTCACAGAGGTCAAAGGCAACTAAAATGGAGTTTTGCAGAGGCCCACCAGAAGCTTGGGCAGGCAGAAAGATGGCCATGCAGGGATGCCCATAACCCAGGCCTAGCTGACCACAAACCCACACCTTTCCGCCACAGCAGACAGAGGGCAAAGTGCCAGAGACAAAGCAGCAAAGGAGGAAATTCACGCCTCCAGGCCTCTGGGAAGGCTCTATGGGCAGGCAGGGGTGAGGCCACCAGGCTGGTGGCCTTGGGCAAACGGCGGGGCCTTTCTGAGACTCCCTGTTCATCTCTAAGGTGGGAATAACGGAACCTCCACCCCACCTGCGCATCAAGGAACTCAGGACGCTGAACCAAGAAAGAGCTCGGCCTGGCTGCCTGCTGGATGAACGTTACTCCTTAACACTGATAACAGTAATGACAATGACTACAATGCGATCATTCGACAGCCACTGTCACAAAAGGAATCCTTCTCAGAATGAAAATGTGGCCGCCCATTTGGGAAGCAGAAGAAGGGAGAGGAGAGAATCAACCATCCTCAATGGCCACATAATTGGTTCTCATTCATTAGCTTCCTGAATCCCCGAAAGAGCAGAGTGGAATCTGTCCACTGGACAGATGGGCAAACTGAGGCTTCTCAGGGCTGCCCTGGGAAGACCTTATCCCAGCTCTTATCACGGACACTTGATCAGATGAGAAATCCCTTCCCAGACTCTGGGAGGGCCCCCAATTAGCAGGCTTTAGCTTGGTATCTGGCCCCTGTGTTCTGGGGTCCTGGAACACCCTAACATGGGCCAGGAAATAATCCTGGAGAAAATCCCCCCCCCCAAGTCCTAATTCCAACTGAGAAGGGAGTAGTTTAAGTCTCATCCTTCAGCTCCTTTCTCTTCTCTAAGTTCCTATCATCCCCTACCACAGAGGTTAGGCCAGGCAGTCAGGGGCTGTTAAGGGCACTGATGGGCAGACTAGAACGACAGGCACTAGGACAGAGGAACTAAAGGTTCCACTTGCGAGAGAGGAGCCAGTGTTTGCCAGGGACCAAACTGAAGAGTCAGGCCTGAAAAGCCAGACAACAGACTCCCCTAGGTCCAGACAGCCAGTCAGATAGCAGAGGACAGCTGGGGGTAACCCAACAGAGGAATGGCTAAGTGTTAAAGTGTTTAAGGAGCACGGATGGGCGGCCAGACTACACGGGTCACCCTGGACAGCTAGCCAGACAGCAGGGGGCTGCCCTGAAGAACTGGACAGATGGACAGCCAAATGGTGGTGGCAGGGAGGCCTATCCAGAACAGAGAGACAGCTAACCAGACGGGGGACTGCTCAAGATTAATAAACAGCCAGCCAGACCGCAGGGGTCAGCCCAAAACACATATAGGTGGCAGGTTTGGGACAGAGAACCCCTGATCCACAGGCAACCAGATGGCAGAATTCACCCACTAAAGCTGTGGACCACAGTCGGCAGCGGTCCACCGCACCTCCTAGCCCACAATCCCCCACACTCCCACTCTCACCCCCAGCCCCAGCCGGTGAGACTCGCCTTGGGTCTGGGCCGACTCCCCAGACCCTGCAGTGAGCCCTACACTCAGGGCGTCCCACAGGACCCGCCTCCTAGTCCCGATCCCCACCGCAGGCACGCAAGCGCCGCAGTTACGCCGGCGGCGCAGGGCGCGCCATTCTCGGTCCGCCCTCCGCGCCGTAGGCCGCCGCCCGCCCGCCGTCGCCGCTGTGCGAGCTCACCGGCCCACGAAGTTCTCCAGCACCGAGCTCTTGCCGGCACTCTGGCCGCCCACCACGGCGATCTGCGGAAGGTCCAGGTGGCAACTCTGGCCGATGGAGCTAAAGGCGTCCTGCAGCTTGTTGACCAGCGGGATCAGCTCTTCCATCCCGCGGTTGCCCATGGCGCCGGCAGCCCCGGCCTGAGCGCCCAGCGCTCCCCGCCCGCCCTCGGCCCTCAACGACACGGCCCCGCAGCGTCCACGGCCGTTGCTCCCCGCCCGCCCGGGCCTCGGCGCGACGCCCGCTCCGGCTCGGCCTCACGGTCGCCACTTCATCCGGTTCTCAGGCGACACCCGACCCGAGCGACCTCCCGCCTGGGCCTCGGGGCTGCACCCAAAGCCCGCGCGCCACCCCCGATTGGTCGGCCAAGCTGCCACTTGTGAACACCAACCAATGAAAGTTAGGCACGGGCTTACGGCTGAATGAGCCTTCCCCCTGGGGACCTCCTCGCGGGATCATTGGATGTTAGAACTGTCGCTGTTATGCGAAAGCCAATAGAAGCGGGTAGTGAGATGTCAAGGCCGGTAAGTGGTGTTTCAGGAAAAGGCATGTTGGTTCCGCCTGCTTGGGGGAGGCAGGCAAATCCGCCAGTTTTATTGGCAACAACGTTGGCCAATGATGGTTAGCCAAGGGTTTCTCATTTGACGCTACCTAGTCCTCTAAAAATCTTCCATTGGTTTATATAAATATCACTCCATTCCATCAGCCAACAAACCGAAGGAGGGCGGACTTTAACCTCCGAATCTTGACTCTGATTGAGAACTGTATCTGTCAATCAACAATCTCCCATTCTTACTCGGGATTGCTGTATGTCTATTAAGAGTCTTCTGGAGCAAAGGGTAAGGCTCACCGCACCGGCGAAGGGCAATTCTTGGTAGGAGCCGGTGGAGATTGATACTTGTGTTTCCAGGCTGTAAAGAAAACTACTAGTCCCAGAATACATCTCGGCCCCGGGCTTGCAAACCAGCTCTCTGCACGAGGTTCCTGGGCGCTTTGAAGGTGGAAGTGCAGCGATGTTAATGGTTTCTAAGGAGAGGCGGTCTAACTCTGCATTGTCGTCTCCCACTCTCATTCCTATATCAAGTCACACCTCCATGCGTTTGCAAATGCTGTACCCTCTTCTTGAAATACCTTCCGCTCACACTGGATCTAGATGAGGCTAACACATCCAACGTTGTTCCTCTGCCTCTTCAACTGTAGCGAGCGCATCATTATCTTTTTGAGTACCCATTGAAACTCAGCGGATCCTCTCCCCATGAAAAGACACATTAAAAAGTGATTTTATGGGCCGGCCTAGTGGCGCATTGGTTAAGAGCTGGCTTGGGATGCCAGAGGGCCCCGGTTCAGATCCCACATATGAGGGCCAGTGACACTGCCCTCTACAGCTAAGATGCTGAACAACAGCTCAACCTGGAGCTGGGCTGCCGTGAGTCGCTGGCTACAGCATAGGCTGCGGCCCCTGCTGCAGTGGGTTGCCCTGGGCTGCCATGAGTCGCTGGCTACAGCATAGGCTGCGGCCCCTGCTGCAGTGGGTTGCCCTGGGCTGCCATGAGTCGCTGGCTACAGCATAGGCTGCGGCCCCTGCTGCAGTGGGTTGCCCTGGGCTGCCATGAGTCGCTGGCTACAGCATAGGCTGCGGCCCCTGCTGCAGTGGGTTGCCATGGGCTACCGTGTGTAGCCAGCAGCCAGCGTGAGCAGCCAGCAGCCGCAGTGAGCAACGTCCTCCACAACTAGATTGAAGAACAAAAGGACAGCAACTTGTCTGTTCCTCTTCCCCCAATTCCCCAGTGCTGTTCCCATCCCCAATTCCCCAATAAAAATCTTTAAAAAAAAAAAAAAAGAATTGATTTTATCCCTCTGGGTATAGATGGATTGGAGAGAAACTGAGGAGTTCAGAGAATGGAGAAGAGCCGTGGGGGTAGGAAAGTGGACTGATTCGGAGAAACAGTGGAGAGGAGGCTGGTAGAGTGGCCAGTAATAGTATATGACACTCCAAGACCCAAACCTCTGGTCTTAGAGAGATGGGCATACAGAGACCAACAAGATTTGGCATTTTAGCCTTGACTAGAATAGCAGAATAACCTGGAAACACTCTAACTGCCCATTTGTGGAGCTATTATAGTTAAATAAATACTATGCAGCAGCTATAAATAAGATGAGGAAGTCTTCATGTACTGACATGTAAACAATTTGAAAGATACTGAGGGGGAAAAAAGCAAGGTACAGAACTGTGAAGAACACCAACATTCATGAAAATATGTATACATGGAAAATTTCTGGAAGAATACACAAACTGATCAAAATAGTTGCATTTTTATGTTATCTGGATGATCCTACACATGTATTACTTTTTCAATTAAATAACCCTTATCTTCTAAGAGCACCAACTCTGTAATTGGCCACATCTAGGTTGCATCCTGGGCCTGTTTATTTGTAGGGTGATAATGACCAAGTGACTTGATTCGCCTGAACCTGTTTCATCATCTACAAAATGGCTAACGTAGCTATTCATGCATTACTAAGTTGCAAGAATAAAATACACATAACAACCATTTACAACAAGGTCAGGCACAGTGTAAGCACCTGCTTGATCACACCTATTGTCATTATCACTGTTTTCTGACAGCAAGATTAAGTCACATGTTGGAAGAGTCAAGGCTAAGGGCATGAGCCATGAGGTCTGGAGCCAGGCTGCTACTTCCTCAGTGGTGACCTTGGGCAAGCTAGTCACCTCTCTGGGCCTCTTTTCTCACCTATAAAAAGGAGGAGGACAAGAGTGCCCACCCCAGGCCGGCCAAGTGGCTCGGTTGGTTAAGAGCTCGCTCAAGAGTACGAATTCTGAGCAACAGCGGTTCAAGTCCCGGCCTGAGCTGAGCTGCCGCTGAGCTGCCAACAGGTGGCAGAATGCAATGGCTCAGCTAAAAAAAAAAAAAAGTGCCTACCCCTAGAGTGGCTGGGGGCCTGGGCCACAGGAAAGAAATGCAGCTCAGCTCCCACTCTGGGTCACTTCCTACATGCTGGGTTATGCCAGGTGGTTTTCCAGATGCCAGCTGTTACTATGGTTACTGGTTACTACTATCAAAGGAATGTGAGGGACATCAGCTGCAATGACACACAGACCAGGAAGGGGACCAAAACAGGCCACCTCCCCAAGAAGTCACAGACACACTCTTAAGTTATAATAAAAAACCAAATCCTTCAATGTCTTCCATCCCCTCCCCTACCCCCCAAGCCAGGTCAACTCAGTGTGATTCCCACAGAGGCCAGGGCTTCAGTGGCCCACGTGGGACAGAGGGTGGGGTCCCCATACATGGTGCCCATGAAGTCCCGGACGAAGTCAGGAAAGCGTTTCTCCACAATGCTGGCGCGTACCGCTCCCATCAGCCGCAACTATGGGGTGGAGGTGTCAGTGTCAGCCACCTGCACCTGAAGACCCCGCCCCCACCCCTGCCTCGCCCACCCAAGCCACAGACCCACCTGATAGGCGATATTGTGAACGGTGAGGTGGTGCAGGGCGGCGGTGTTGTCACTGTGGAGTAGTGCATGCAGGAAGGCCCGGCTGTGCCTGGGGACAGGAGACCAGGGCTCAGCAGTGTAGGGTCCTGCCCCCCTCCACAACCTGCCCCAGGCCCCAGGCCCCATCCTCTCATACTTCTGGCAGGTGGGACAGGAACACTCAGGGTCTATGGGGCGGAAGTCCTTCTGAAAATGCTTCTTCTTCAGCTGCAGGTTTCCCGTGGGCACCAGGGCGGAGCCAAAGCGCTGGGGGAGGAAAGGGGGAATGGTAGGCAGGTCAACCAGGTCTTCACCCCCTCTGCCCCATATCCACTTTGGCACTGCCCAGTCCCCCGCCACTACTGCCCAGAGCCTCACCGCTGTCCGCGTGGGGAAAACACAGTCGAACATGTCGCATCCAAGAGCCACGCAGACCACCAGATCAGTGGCATAGCTGGGGGTGGGGCCGTGAGGGGAGACGAGCACAGTACCTCAAGCCCTGGTCACACATCCAGGCCCTCCTCCCGACCCTCAGGCTCCCCCTGGACTGAGACCCTCAAAACCACCCCTAGCAGAGGGCCATGTCCTCCTTACTCCCCTCCCAAGCAGGTCTTTGTCCTTCCCCCCCTCACCACGGGGCTGGGGGTCCCCAGAAATCCACTCCCTAAAGGGGGGCTCTCTGCCCCCTTTTGGACATACCCAACCCCCATCAGGTATCGGGGCTTGTCCTTAGGCAGCCTCGAAGTGCTCAGCGCCACCATCCTCCAGAATTGGCCCTTACTCTCACCGCCACTCAGGCCCCCGATGGCGAAGCCAGGCACGTCCCTCTTGGTCATCTCTGAGGGTACAGGGCAAGGTGAGGGGCGGCCACAGAAAAGGAAATGCTGCTCCCCCTTTCCTCCTCCTCCTCCTCCTCCTCTCTGTCCCCATCTCTGCCTCCCCTTCATCTCCACAGCCACTGCCTTGGTGTAGTACTCACTTTCACCCTTCCCTGGGCAACCACTCCTGCCTCCTCATGGGTCTTCTGCTTTCTGTCCTATTGGGATTTTTCTACGATTCCTCACTGGTTCCTATCACACTCCCACTCAACAGCCCTCCATGTCTCCCCAGCCCCTCAGTGTATCAATTAATGCTATAGATTCTAGAGCTCAAGGTCTGGGTCCAAATCCCAGCTCTGCAACATCCAACTGTCTGGCTTGGGGTGAGTGACTTAACAGCTCTATGCCTCAGTTTTCTCTTCTGTAACCTCAGGAACCTGGTAGTTCCCACATTATAGGATGGTTATGATAAATCAATGGGTCAAACCATGATCAGAACTTGGCATAGTGTCTGGTGAACACCCAAAAATTGATAGCTATTGGAATTACTATTATTCTGCAAACATTTTACTCCATTCTGCCTCTGGGCCTTTGCTTCAGCTGTTCCTTCCGCTTGGAGTGCCCTTTCTCCCATTAATAACCACTGCCTGAGCACCATCACATGTCAGGCCCTGGTAGGGCCCCCAGCGATGTGACAAGCCCTGGTCCTGCCAGCACATGGCTCTACCTTCCAGGCAGGTGGCCCGGAGATCCGCGTCCAGCCCACCCTGGATGATGGCGAAGAGATTTTGCTTGTCCGGCCGCCGATGGGCTGCAATGCAACGGTCCAGCCAGCGGATTGATCTGTAAGAGGACCAATCAGCCATTTGGGCCTAGTGAGGAGTAGGGAAACAAGGCTACAGGACCAAGATCCTCTCCCCTGACACACACACACACACACACACACACACAATCACATGCACACACACACCTGTACATGGCCTCCTCTACACGTGGCCCCGTCACAGTGCTGCTAACCACGTCATCTAGCTGCATGATGATGTCTGAGCCTGGGGGGTGAGAATGGGGCACTGTCACTAAGAAAGCCCCCGCCTCCTGTTGGGGACAGACTGGACCCCAACAGTCCCTCCTTGGGTCTTGTTGACTCCCACATAACCCCCTAATCTGTTTATACAACAGCCAGAGGGAGCTTACAAAATGCACATCTGCTCCTGCCTCCCCCAGCTAACTCCTGCCCTGGCACATAAAATAAAATCCCACTTCTGCAAATTTACCCTTCAAGAATAAAACACTGTGGTGTGGCAATAACAGCAAGATCGGAACCCAAGTATCCATCAACAGGGGTTTCGTTAAATAAACCATGGTCCACCCCTTAACAGAAATATACCTTCCTCACCATTCCAAAATCCAGACACTTCTCAAAACAAAAGGCTTTTTCTTATGTTTATGGCACATTCATTTGGTAACAAAACCCAAGATGGTTATAAACCATTCAAAAATCCAACTTAGTATGAAGACTCATAAAGTGTTAATCCAATAAAAGTTAAGTATATGCCATGTGATCCAGAAATTCCACTTTTGGGTATATTCCCAAAAGAATTGAAAGCATGGTCTTGAAGAGATACTTGCACACCCATTTTCATAGCATTATTTACAACAGCCAAAAAGTGGAAGCAACCCAAGTGTCCATCGACAGATGAACAGATAAACAAAATGTGATAGACATACAATGGGATGTTATCCAGCCTTGAAAAGGAAGGAAATTCTGACACCTGCTACAACATGGATAAACCTTGTTAAGTGAAATAAGCCAGTCACTAAAGGACAAATACTATATGATTCTTCGATGAGGTCCCTAAAGTAGTTAAATTCTTAGAGAAGGGTGGCTGTCAGAGGCAGGTGGGAAGAGGAATACGGAGTTATGGTTTAATGGGGTCAGAGTTTTAGTTTTGCAATGAAAAGAGTTCTAGAGATGGATGGTGGTGATGGCTATACAACATGTGAATGTACTTAATGCCACTGAACTGGACATTTAAAAATGGTTAACGGGGGGCCGGCAGAGTGGCGCGATGCTTAAGAACTGGCTTGGGATGCCAGAGGGCCCCAGTTTGGATCCCACATATGAGGGCAAGTGACACTGCCCTCTGCAGCTAAGATGCTCAACCTGGAGCTGGGTTGCCATGAGTCGCCAGCGATGGGCATAGGCCGCAGCCCCTGCTGCAGAGGGTTGCCATGTGCTACCGTTTGTAGCCAACAGCCAGCGTGAGCGGC